GGCTCCCTTGACTCTACATCACACGGAAAGTATTCTCAAGATAATTGAGCCACTGCTCTACTACTTCATGACATTCATTACTTATGAAATGATTCAACTTCAGATTATACACAATCTCTAGATGAGTCCCTTGGGGAGGACGAAACGAATACTAAATAGCATTAGCTATAGCTTCCCTTAACTGAGCAATATCAAGGAAACCAGACTCAGCTGAAGGACGTGGCTTTCTACGAGGCGGCATAGTTCTGACAGAAGACACCAAAATAATTAGAATATTCACAAGATATGCAGGACTGCCAAACCTAAGCTGTGATACCAAACTGACACATCTCGGCCCGGGCTTTACCACATCCCGGGCTCAACTCTGTCGCAGCACAATATTGTCCGCCTTGGGCCCTGATCACGCCCTCACGGTTTTGTTTCTGGGAACTCACGCGAACAGAACTTCCCAATAGGTCACCCATCCTGGGAATGCTCTAGCGCTTTTCTCGCTTAACTTCGGAGTTCCTACGGAACCCGAAGCTAGTGAGCTCCCAAAAAGCCTTGTGCTAGGTAGAGATGAGAATATACATATAAGGCTTACAAGATCCACTCCCTTTAGCAATATGGGATGTTACACTTTTGATGCATTGTAAGTTGCGTTTTAAATTAAGTGGTTAGGTGGAACAATTATCATTTAATATGCTTTGGTGGCTTAGGGAGTTGTATTTGCATTGATGAAGATGTTTTGACACACTAGTATATTAGGGAGGAAGTTTGATATGTTAAAGAAGAAAATTTGGAATTATAATTTGAGTAAACTGTCGATTTACCCCCTAAACTTTCACTTCACTTTCGATTTTCCCCCTGAACTTTTCTATTGGAAAATTAAGGACTCAAACTAATTTTTTTTTAGCCAATTTGCCCCTACCCTTAGTTTTTCATATATTCCATCCATATTTCTGTTAAGTGAGACTATGTGCACAACATGTGAGGGTAGTTAAGTCATTTCACTCTTAAAATGATTAAAAAAACTGAAAATAAAAAAAAAACAATACTTTCCCTCTATTGTTCCCGCTAATTCTTATCCTCAATTTTATTTTTCCCTCTCATTCCTATACATGAGAAATGCCATATGGTGTTATTGTCTTCATAAGTAGTTAAGTTAGTCTTTTTCTTGAAGCATATACTACCATTTTTATTTTCTCTAACAAATTAATAATTTGACCAATGTTCATGGTGTTATTGTCTCCAAAGCAGTGCATTAATATAAGAAACATGTTCATAATACTCATAAAAAAATGCTCAAGATAATTACATATTTTTCATAATGTCATAATAATCCCAATACAATTCCACAAAATGATCCTTAAGAAGTTGGAAAACATAACACCCTCAACCTTACTCAGCCATCAGAAATGAAAATAGGTTTAGGTACAAGATTCCAACCAAACGAGGAAGGCCATGGAAAGTGTAGTTGATCTCCACGTGTCATGTGTGTTTCGAGCAGAATGTTTGTGCTCTTGTTTTGATAACTAAAACCTTATTTTGCTTGTGTTTGGTTAAGTGGAATGCCCATATTTTGTGATCAAGATTCTATGGGTTATATACCTTATGGATGGTAAAATCTCTTATGTTTTCCAACTTCTTAAGGATCATTTTGTGGAATTGTATTGGGATTATTATGACATTATGAAAAGTATACAATTATCTTGAGCAATTTTTATGAGTATTATGAACATGTTTATTATATTAATGCACTGCTTTGGAGACAATAACACCATGAGCATTTGTCAAATTATTAATTTGTTAGAGAAAATAAAAATGGTAGTATATGCTTCAAAAAAAAGACTAACTTAGCTACTTATGAAGACAATAATACCATATGTCATTTGTCATGCACAAGAATGAAGGGAAAAATTAAATTGAGAGGATAGGAATTAGTGGGAAAAAATAGAGGGAAAGTTTTGTTTTGTTTTGTTTTTTCCTTCAGTTTTTTAATCATTTTTAAGAGTGAAATGACTTAACTACACAGTTTTGTTTTTTTTTTCCTTCAGTTTTTTAATCATTTTTAAAAGTGAAATGATTTAACTACCCTCACATGTTGTGCACATGGTCTCACTTAACAGAAATATGGATGGAATATATGAAAAACTAACGATAGGGGGCAAATCGGCTAAAAAAATTAGTTTGAGTCCTTAATTTTCCAATAGAAAAGTGCAGGGGAAAATCGAAAGCTAAATAAAAGTTCAAGGGGTAAATCGACAGTTTACTCTTATAATTTTATGGTAATGAAGAATTGAGCATTGCTCTTCTATTATTTTTCTATCAAGCCTCGTATGTTTTTTGACATATCTCCTCTAGCTCTTTGTCGTTATGTATTGCTTGTTACAATAACAGAACTTGACACTTCACTTCAAACGGGCAACAATCAATAACAATCGACGTGTCACCGTTAATCATCCACTATTGAAAGTTATTCATCTTTCATAAATCCAAAAGTTAGTAGTGGGTTGTCGGAATGAGATTGAAGGGGAAATGTATATAAATTTTTATTTTAACAAATGATATTATTTACACTAAGGGAATGGAGTGGGTTTAGTCTTATAATGGGCTAGCAATAATGTGATTCAAATTCGCCTTGGCGAGAATCGAATATAAGACATTTCACTTACAAATGAAGAAAAATACCACATAAATGAATAACATGCACAACTAGCAAAAGAGCATAACAGGGACAAATGCTGAACTTTACGAGGGATGCTCTATTGTCACGTGACAAGCATTTATTAAACAAGTGATTCGCTTGTCAACACATAACAAACATCAATGTATGCCACCTAAAATTCCATATTGATTGCAAGAGAAAATCTCTCCTACTTTGCATAATTTAATCCCCCTTAGATCCCTCAAAGCTTGTAGCCAGTTCGAAGAAAGGAAAAAAACAGTATGATATCCACGCATCCTTTTAATTTTCAAATCGGATGAATTGAAAATTTTCAAATGACCGAAATTAACAAGAGATGTGTGAAAAGTAAAAATGAATGTGTGGATAGCACATCCGACCCAAACAACTACCACAGTTCGTCGTCGGCGGGGAGGTTTGCCGTGCACTGGAAGCCTATTATAGGAAGCCAACTCTAAGGTTTATATAATACAAGGTAGTCTAATATTCGACGTCCTGATTGAAGGCCTACACTCCATGTTTCTGCTGTTCCTCATGTGTTTAAATATATTGACAGCTCTAGCTTCCGTGAATAAGTAAATAATGGAATTGTGGCAGGCAGCTCAATCTTAAAACGAAAACAACGCAGGAAGTCGTGGATTATAATTAGGAAGTCGTGGGTTTTGCTTAACCTTTCGAGTTCGTTTATATCAAGACATTTGATATGGTTTCATTTATTTTGTGAAATTAGATATTTTTCTGTAAAGATTTTTTTTTTCGGAGTCCAGTAAATTGATTGGTGGCTGTAAATTTGACAATAGTAAATTTTGGACTTTAATTTCAATGATTACCCAGTATTAATTGGTTATTGATTAGCATTTGTTTTCTAGAATTTGGACTCGGTTCAAAGGTTTTGGGAAAGAAGCTCTTTTTAATCAGGCCAATTAGGTCCTCCTGGCAATACAATGTCGAAAAATTTAAATACGAGTCCGATAGTTTTGGAAAGATGCAAATGGGTTGTGATTGGGAATGTAACACCATCCTAATATATTTTTCGAAGCAATTTACTTATTTGTATTTTTCAGCTTTATGTGTCCAAGAGTTTTCAAGTGTTAGTGAGGACCTCGAAAAGGTTAATCAGTAGTGTTGTAGTAGCACAAAATGTAAACATCACTTTGATTGAATAATATAAACTCTGTACGTTTTTGAATGTTGAAGTTGGAAATTGCTTTGGTTAGGATACTATTACTAATGATCAGAAAATAACTTTGACTAAACTTCTTCTTTGTTGTTATAATATGCTGCTTGTAACATTCCACATCGCTCAGGGGAGTGAATCCTGTAAGCCTTATATGTATATTCCCATCTTTACCTAGCACGAGGTTTTTTGGGAGCTCACTGACTTCGGGTTCCATCGGAACTCCGAAGTTAAACGAGTTCGCGCCAGAGTAATCCCATTATGGGTGACCCATTAGGAAGTTCTCATGTGAGTTCCCAGAAACAAAACCGTGAGGGCGTGGTCAGGGCCCAAAACGGACAATATCGTGCTACGGCGGAGTCAAGTCCGGAATGTGGTGAGGGCTCGGGCCGGGATGTGACACTGCTTCTGTGGTGGGTTTTGAAATTTCAGTTGTGAATGTGAAATTCACTTCTCAAGATAGTTGCGATAATGCCTATTTTGCTCTCAAAGCTTTTTCAACCGAGTTGCCATAATCAGTGATTGAAGCTCTCCATGACAAGTCGAACATCGTCCTGGTACGCTACTCTCACTCTTTCCTGCTTTTAATTTTGTTTGTTTATGAACAGTGTGCTTTTAATTTGCAATTTGTTGCTGAATTTTATTTTGATAATTTGTAAAATTTTGTTTTATTTTTTGTTCGACAGCTTTTAGGGTTATTGCCCACAAATTCTCTTTAGGTCAAACAATAAAGTTAGAAGAGCTACGGATTTGCTTTCGATTGGTACCCCTCTATTGAGTGCAAACGTGCTCCTAATATACTTGAATTGATTTTAAGTTAGTATCTTTTCTGGGATAGTTTGTGGTTTTGTGAGCGTTATTTAGGTAAAACGTGCGTTGTCTAAATTGCTACATTTAAGAATGCAATTATATTGCTACAACAATTTCAATTAATTTTTCTGTGGATATTATTTATGTAGGTTGTTGATTATAATTTAAAAACCCGTAGCAAAGCACGGGCATTCCTGCTAGTTAAAACGAAACAACGCAGGAAAGTCCTCAGTACACGTGACATTGCATTTCAGCCGTGGATTATAATTTAATCCCCCTTGTACAACAAACCTCTATAAATTTCATTTCTTGCCATAGGCAGATACAACAGTATTCAACGTAGTGAGAGAATAATCCATTAGATCCCTCAAAACCTTGTAGCCAATCAGAAGAAAAGGTAAAAAAGGGTTGCATGGGTACCAGGGATGGATTTCTTCCGGTGATAGATTTCTCCAAAGAGGACTGCTTGAAGCCAGGGACAAGTTCTTGGCTCTCCGTCCGCAGGGAGGTTTGCCGTGCACTGGAAGAGCTCGGCGGTTTCATGGCGACAATGCCCGACAAAGTTTCTGCTGAGCTCCACCAAACCATCTTTGGTGCACTGAAGGACTTGTTTGAGTTCCCTGCCGAACTCAAATCCAAAAACCGATACGAAGAGAATCCCTTTTGTGGCCATTTCATATATAATTCTGTCCATGAGAGCTTGGGGATTCAGAATCCCACACACTCGGAAGAAACTCAGAAATTCACACATCTTTTCTGGCCTAACCAAAATGATCAATTCCGGTATGTATTGTACGAGTTTTTTCGTTTCATGAATTACAGTTCTTGTTACTCTTAATCATTTTCTTAATTAATACTTATTTACTAACAATTATTATTTTCTTTTTTTTTGGCCAGTGATAGTGTAGACTCATATGTAAAGGTGATGATGGAACTTGATCATGTTGTAACAAGAATGGTATTCGAAAACTACGGTATGGAGAAGTACCACGACGAACACATTCGATCTACTTCTCACTTTATCCAGTTTGCTAAATACAAAGAACCCAGAAAAGCTGGAAGCGATGTGGGTATAGTGAGTCACACTGACAAGAACTTCCTTTTCATAGCTAGTGATGTGTTTAAGGTATGTACGTGACAACTTTTGAATTGACAAACACAATTAATATTGCAACATGCATTACTTAGAGGAAGTTTCCATGGTCTAATTAATATTTTCTTTGGTTAATATAGGTATGGAGTAACGGCAGAATACGAGCTTGTAGACACAGAGTCAACGTAAGAGAAAATGATGAGGCAAGATACTCGGTTGGGTTTTTCTCTCTAAAGATAGGGGTAACAACCGTACCCAAGGAGCTTGTGGACGAAGAACACCCCTTACGTTACAAGTCACTAGACCAAGTGGAGTATATCGAAGCACAAAGGAAAAATGGAATTGAGTGCACACCGGAGGCATTCTGCGGAGTTTGATTATTTTTAGTTTACTTTTCGTAATATTACTTCCCTTTTAAACTGAAATGTATTTATGTTTTTTCCCTTGTCTTGGGATATGCTGATTTCTCATTACTTGATTTCTCAATGTTTTTGAGCATCAAAATCATTATTGTTGCCCTATGTGTGTTGGACCAAGTCATAACTTGGTTTCAGTTGTAACGGCGTGAAGTGTTGGAAAATATTAGTATTCAGGTGTTGGAAAAAGTCATTCAAGATGTAGTCATTCGGTTGTAGCCGTCTCGACAATCTTGTTTAATAAAATAATATTTATAGTTATATTCTGTTTCTTCTTCCGTTTACTTTCAACCGTTTGTGATTCATCTAAACTCTCATCAACGAAGAGTTAGCTATGTTCCTGCAATTCCTTCCATGAACCCCTTCTCATCCATGACTACTGTCGTCAACATAAAGCTGGATCGAACCAACTATCCTTTATAGTTGGCTCAGATTCTCCCAATCCTCAAAAGCCGTGACTTGATGGGGTACGTTGATGGGTCCATTGATACCCCAATCACGTATCCTACATATGAAATGACTGAACGCTGCTCAGGCACATGATACACTGATACCCCAATCACGTATCCTACTCTTGAAGCTCTCCTGCTGACCACGGAGAGAAGAATGACGGAGCAAACTGCGCCTCTTGTGGAGGCTGCTCCTGCTAATGCCTTTGTGACTACTAGAGGTCGTGGTGGACGATCTCGTGGAAGTAGACGTGGTGTGTTTCCGTCCACTCGTGGTGCTGGTGCTGCCAACCAACGAGGCTTTATTTGTCGCAACAACAACTTCAACAACTAACGGCTCAGTCTGGTTGAAATGGTGACAGGTTCAACACGGCAGGAGAGAGGATTACCTGCCAAATATGTGGAAAACTGGGGCATCCTGCCCTAGACTCTTACCAAAGAATGAATGCAGCATATGAGGGAAGGATTCCAGCCAAACGCCTCACCATCATGGCCACTCACCTATCACTCTCAACAGGTAGAACAATGGACAAAGGCTCCTGGACACCGGTGCAAATGCTCATGTCACGGATATTCAGCATTTGGTGAACGCAAAAGAATATAACGGTAACGAGGATGTTGATGGTGTAGGTAATGATACTGGTATTTCAATATCTCAAGTTTAATTTAGATAATAACTGTTATTTGCTTATTTTTCCTCACTTTTTTCTTGTACAGAACCTCAAGACCCATAAAACACTTTTCCACGGAAGATGTGAGACTGGCTTATACCCATTCCCAGGTGCGGTGGACAGTTCAATTACCCTATTTCAATGTGTTGGCATTCGTGTCTCGGCCAAGAAATGGGGGCCACCAAACCTAAAGTGGCGACCACCAGACCCGACACAGTCGTATCATTTGACAAAATTTTGTCACCAGTTGATGTGTCACTACACATTTCAAAGTGATAGATTGATCGAGGGAAGCAGCTTCTAACTTTAGTTCCCAGAACACTTCTTTTGATCTTGTCAACTAGATCCAAGGGGATTGTTAACAAGCCTAATCAAACCATGTTCCCAACGGGCCTGTAGTATCGAACCACCACTGAACTTGTAGCAGCAAGCGACATACGACAAACAGAAAAAAAAAACATCTAGAGAACACTGGCTGAATCCAGGCACACTCGCGCATCCAAATGGAATTGACTTCTGGTATAACAGAATTCGAATGCATTTTCATGACAAAAGAAAGCTTAAACTGTTCGATTGGATCAGTGAATTTACATACACCGTTCTATAAGTTACAAGGTACACACTAGTCAGACTTACAATTGAAGACCTAAGCCAAGGCAACGACTTCACCACGCAAACCTGTAATGATTGAAACAAAAATTATGAAGGTAATACACATCATGATAATGGAGAGACTTACAACGACTAAAGTACACATACAAGTTTCATACTTACATTGTTCATAAATCTCTTCCATTAACAGTAGCATTGAGTCGGTATCTTCTGCCATCATTGAAACTCTTTCTGCTTCCTTCATTGCTTGAGTAGCCAGAAAGCATTTGTTATCAGCATCCACGAGTTTGTAGGCAGCATTATCAGCTGCATCCTTCACTGTTTCGGTAGAGATCATTGGCACATAATTCTGCAACTTCCACGGCCTCACTTCCTTTTGATCTGGAGTAGATATAGGTGTTTCTGCTACCAAAGTTACATCCTTTTTTATCTTGTAACCATTTTGTGCCTATATTTGAAAGGAACACTTTAGAATGTTTCAAGTATCAACGAGTGTGGTATAATTAGGAACAAGATTTGACATGACAGAAGTACACAACAAAGCATCAAAGAGAAATGTTCAAAAGATATAAGAAGTACAAGATCTAATAATACCGTGCAAGTGCCACCTAGATAGTTAGAATATGAATATGAGTATTAGCTATCACTCAACATTTGAGAAATACAACCAGGTTGTGTTCAAGCCTTCTGAGTTCTGACAGGCTACATGCAATAAACGACATAAAAAATTTATTAATGAAAAACTTGTAAAATTTCATCATGCTAAATATACCTTGTCCAGTTTTCCTTGCATAGCAAGCTGTCTTAACCTTGTACCCAAAACCCTTCTGAAATTTGCTGGTACAGGCACCTCATGCCTTTGCTGCAGTAGGTGTATCAAGATTCAAGACAGTCACCATCTTTCTTGTACGTATATGAAATTTAAAAAAAGGCAGCTAGAGATTAATTGCAAACTCAAAAGTATGAGTGAGAGGCGAGGATTCAGCAATTGTGCCTTGCTGCTCAGATAAATAAATATACTTAAATAGTTTAATACCCACAATAATTGATAATGTTAGTGAGAAACACTTCAAAATGATACCATAGAAAACAAACCCCTCACTCATGCTGCTAACAGTCAGGTGTAATAATAGTTGGGTCCAAGGGTTTTTCTCCTTCAGAAAGTCAACTGGTAATCCGATGGAAGGTTAATGAAACTAACATATAATATATTAATATGTTCTCAACCTTCCGTGGCTCGTCTTTGGTTTGTGCAACAAAATTTTAACTTTGAATGTCTGAATATATGTAGTGAAAGGATTTATGCTATGCAAGATTTTTTTTCATAATTCTGCAGCAGGTTTCCCAACTAAGCTACGGACATTCAACAACCTAATACATATATTTCATAATAAATCGAACTAATCAGATATTTTTAATAATACATAACAAAAGACCTCCATCTGACCTCAATATAGTTAAGAATGGCACCTATAGTAGATCCATCCTTATCTTTCATCGTTAAAAGGGCCTCAAAAATCATTGCATCATACCTGTCGAAAATTGTTTAAAAATAAGAAAAAATAAATGAACAGATCAAGTACCCTGCAGATGACTTAAACAAAAAGCTCTACAAAGTTTATCCATAATGTAGAAGAAAGACATTAATAACTGTGGATACCAACTGTGAAAACAGAATAAATTAGTGAATGGTTGAACGAGTGAAAGCCTAAACGGACAAATTTTGAATCGTTGTAAATAGTACAGAAAAATTACACTAGCTAGAACAAACTAAACTTTAATGTCTATCACAATGGAGGCAGCATCTGTTCCATACAAATGTACTGCACCCGCAGTAAATACCTCACTATCTACTGTAGTGCTTTACTATGTCCTCCTACCATACTGTATCAGATCACACAAAAGGTCAACAATGGGTCTAGTTTGAGAAATTTTGGTACGTTTGGCATTTTTCAAAGATCTCTATGTCCCTGGAACTGTGTTTCAACCGCTCTCTAGGAAAAACAACGTATTTCAATTCTTAATTCCAGTTGTCTGAAAAGAGGAAAAACTGAAAGAGCTCTTCATAGCATGTCGGGATTCAGGAGTTTTTTTCTCTCCATCTTTGAATCCTATATCCTAAACATCGGTTGACATGACATACCATACATTTGCAAACACCCCTTCTACTTCAATTCAAACGGCCCCAACATCATGTTCATTTCAACCGGAATTTTGTTCTAAAGAAGCGATATCAAAAAGAAATATGAAGCACACCATCTAAAGGCCTGACAACATCGGGATCACAAAAGCACACACCTTGGAGCATTTTTCCCATCAGATGCTGTACTCAAAGCATCGTTCGTGACAGCAACGAGAGATGCATTGGGTCGAACTGAAGCAGCAGAAGCAGGGCTCTGAACAATGTCATGCTGGGTACCCACAACCTTTCTAATCTTTGTAGCCCTTGGTCTTTCCTTAGAACCATGTCCACAAGAATTAACACCCAAGTTCCTCCACTTATCCTGATTCGCAAGCGAAAATCGAGACAAGGAAATAACGTTGCAAAAGAAAGGACCAAAATCATCAATTCATTTACTGAAGCAGCCAAGACACCCATAGCAAATGCAGATTAGACAAAACCAAAACTAGGGTTTCTTCATATACAATTATATATGTGTGTGTGTGTGTGTGTGTGTGTGTGTGTGGGTGTATATATACAAAAAATACATGCATGCATATTTGTCTGTATCAATTGATGATTATTTTTGGTCAATTTCAGGCAGAAATTGGGAGACCTAGGGTTTTCTAAGCAGAAAATTGCATATTTCTCAGAAATTCAATGAATAATATATCTGCCTAACAGTTCAACCACCATCAACTCAGCTTTTTTTTTATTTTTTTTTTTGAAAAAAAAAATGGCACTTTACTTTTTACAGTTTCATTTTTTCAACTTCAAAATTTAGCTAAAAAAATAAGAAAACTGAGGAAAGAGTGAACTTTTCTTTTTAGTAAGATGAACAGGTGGCAATAGATGTAAATAGGAGGGAACCTTGAGGTCGATATTGGAGCGGTGAATTAGGAAAGGGGCGCATTCGGGATCTTTGATGATGTTCTTCCACTTGCCTGGTCCGTGCTTCGCTACTCCGGCGAGTAGGGCTTCTTCCTCCGCCGCCGTCCACTTTTGCTTTTGGTTTCCCATTCTACCCCTCTCCCTCTCTCTCTCCCCCCGAAGCTTTCTCTCTCCTAGTCTCCTTCTCTCTTGACTTCTCAGCCTAAAACTCTGTGTGTGTCTGTCTCTATCTTAAAATATTATGGCTTTCGAGGGAAGGACGACATCTGTGCCTCTCTCCCGCTTTCCGCTGCCCTTTCGTGGTTTGGATAAAAAAAAGCCCATCTTACGATATCCATGTCTCACGTCGGCCCCAGACACTCATGTTCCGCGGCCCAAAAGGTCCAACGACTGGTAAAATAAAATGAATGCCAAGTCAACACACCAA